ATTCCCCAGCCAGCGTGCTGGCTGGGGAATTCTGGGAGTTGAAGTCCACACATCTCAAAGTGGCCAAGTTTGGACAACACTGCTCTAAAGGCAGAGGGGCCAATGCTGGGCCTGGGGTGTCCTGCAATTCTGCATTGTCTCCCCATGAGAGCTCACATCAATCTGGGGGTCTCACACGTGCTGCACGATAACCCTAAAACCTGCATCGAAGCACCCAAGGAAAGCTCCTTTGCAAGCCGGCCCCACTCATGGGCCTCCTTGGCTGGTTGGATTTATTTATTTTGGACGCTTTTATGCCCTTCAGTCACTCCCACCCTATCGTGAGTGAAGGACAAGCAGCCCAGCACCCCGTAACTAAACCGCGGCATGGCCAGCGAAGGTGGAACTACACACTGGAGCATTTTCTCACATGCAGATGTGGACAAAGGATGGCTCCCCTTCTATCCCCACCTCAGAAAGCCATCAACAAAACCAGGTGGAGTTCTGGCAGATGATCCGCCCAAAACAGCCCCATTTTGTCTGCGAATGCCATCCTTAGCTCGACTCCAACTTGCAGTGAATCACAATTCTGCGTTCTTTATCCCCTGTGAAGATGCCAACCTTGATGTGCGCATGAATGCATAATTACGCCTTGGAAATTTAGAATATATTTGCTATTCCAGCGCAGCTGTTCCCATTTTACCTTAGCATCACATACAATCCTTAGTTAACTACAGTTCTTTCTACTACGCAGTGCTTCTCAACCTTGGCTATGCTGGCTGGGGAATTCTGGGATTTGAAGTCCACACATCTTAAAGCTGCCAAGGTCGAGAAACACTGGACCACACTGTCAATCCTACACACATATCGTCCTTTTAACGGGGCCAGATACGAAATACTGCTGCACGTCAACAAACACGGTCGAGTCTTGCTTGTAAAATACCGGTGACAGAAATCGGAGGACACTGCCAAGTACAGACACAAGGATGTTCCAAGAATATCTGCAGGCGCACGTTGAAGCACACACAGGCGAGCTGGGCTTAAAATCCG